GTGTAGTTATTATAAAATGTTACCAAAAACCTCAACTCTCCCATAAAGTTAAAGTAAAATGATAAGATCAGATTCTACTTCAAATATCGTGAAAAGAACATAATTAGCAGCAGCAGCAGTCTTGTGGAGCTCCTTCTTGTGTTGGTGGGTGGTTTGGTGGGCGCCATGTTCTCCAAACTTGGTCAGCTGTGAGCTCAGAGGTCTGAACACGTCATGAGTTTCCACTGAGCGTGTGTGAGTGTGTGTTTGTGCGTGTGTGTGTGTGTGTAATAAAAATAACCCTTTCTCTCCACACACATAAACAACCCTAAGCCGTGTTTATTGTAACTTCTCCAAAACTACTGGTCCTGCAGAAGTAATAGAGGAGATACACATTTAGCTGCAGCTTTGGTATTTGTGATTTGGTAAATTATGGAAAACACTTTAGCCTCACTTGTGATTGATGTGCGGCGCCCTCTGTTGGCACCAACGGGGAGTGAAGCATTTATAAATAAAAGTTGCAGTTATTGTGAACATGACACTGGACAGTTACTTGTTGGGTCATATTTGAATCCAGATTTATAACAGAGGACCAGATCTACAACATCACTGCTGCAACTTTAAGCAAACGTGTCTAAAATATAAGTGAATATAGGTGTAATTTATAGGCAAGGTAAGACTAGGCGAGTTTCATTGTTGACAAAAGCGCGCGTTGCATGCTGGGAATTATTTTAGTCAGCGGCAATAAACACTAATTCAACATGACGGACGGAGCGAGAAAGCACGTAAAGGGTATTGATCGGTTATTTATCCACTCTAACGACAGAGGACTGAAGACGATTTGACCAGAAATTGGTCATAAGCATCGATGGAGCCAAATCACCCTTTTCAACCCTTACAAAAGGTGGACCAAACCAAATTTCTGGACGGAATCACCAACTACCTGGACAAATATTCACTTCAGTGATATCCACAATGACTTGGTGGAAACTCCTGGACCATTCACAGCAGAAAAGATGAAAACCTCCAAGAGTCTCAATGTGTTGTTGAACTTGTTGGAGTCCACGGTTTGTTAGGATCTTCTACGTTTGCTCTGTGAATGTTTGAAAGCCGTTTAATTCACCGTTAGTGGTTCTTTTTACTCGAATACAAAAAAGACATTTTCCTTCTTCTGTGCTTCTATTTGTGCATCCGATAATGCAGCAGGAATTGACCATTATCGAGGATAAATACGCGAGGTTACGCTCTGTGTTTGACCGCTATCGTGTTTCTTGCCTCAGACCAAAATATTTCCCAGCATGCAACACAGGCTTTTAATAACAATGACGTCAGCTGAAACTCGCCTATTATCATGATCTAAAACATGCTGAGGCGCCTTTAACCTGATTATTGACTCTTAAGGTGTGATGGAAGGATTGTTGTGTTCATGTGATGATGAACCAAAGACACACTTTCACTTTGGTGGACCGTACAGCTGAAGATAAAACAGTCCAAGTTAACTGCAGCTAAAAAGTAAAGTTAAAGTTGAAATTAAAACAGTCCGAGCTGAGAATGAGAAGAATGAGTTTGTTGATAAAAAGTTTAAACATACAGTATTCATATCATCAGAAGAGTGACATATTTCAAGCATATTCAACACAAATTAAATAACCCGGAAATACAAAAATGATGTCATATTTTCCATTTCAATCACTGAAGACATGATGTTCCTAGTTATAATCTATGACACTAGTGGATCATTCTGTTATAATTTGGACATCTGACATCGCAATATAGAACGACTTCATAAAAGAAGAAGACTGTTGTGGCCAAACATCATCACAACTGAGTCAGTGCCTCTGGTGGATAACTACAGATCACACTAACAAGTAGAGGATTTTCTTCATTTGTGCCAAAACGACTACGTGACGCTGCTGAACCTAGTCAGGCTGGAGCCACCTACTGCCACCGCTCAGTTTCATTTCATCCAACGAGGTTCATTTGGTCTTATGGTATTTTGTGTTATCTTTTTTTTTTTTTCCAGACCAAAAGCTTGTTTTTCATACCTGACAGGAACCAAGTCTTTGTTTTGCAAGTCTCAAATAAGTCTCAAATCTTTGACCTCAAGTTCGAGTCAAGTCCCAAGTCAATGTCCAAGTCGAGTCTCGAGTCATTGGCCCACAAGTCATTTCAAGTAGTAAATATAGCTTTGATTTTTGCAATTTATATCACTTTTAAGTGAAATTGTACTTAAAAAGTCATGGTATATTTATATGTGAGTATTTATATAAGAGTTGTAGAAATGCAATATTTCTTTCTTTTTCCTTTTTTCTTTTCTTTTTCTTTCAAATTTCCTTTTTAAATGTCTTTACAAAATGTTATTGCGAATTATTACAGTCAGAACAGAAAGAATTCAGATTTAAAAGTGTTTAATAACAGTCATTTTGTCGAGTAGTCTGCACTGAAATGGAAGGATCATGTTCTATGTAGTTCCCTCTGTTTTGATGTAGTGTACTGTCGTGTACTGCAGTACATTTGACGATACCGTATCACAGTACTTCAGTTTTATCCAAAGTAACAAACAGAAGTGGGAGGGACATGTTCAAATTTTATTTATTTTTTTTAGGGGAAGCATCAAGTCTTCTCAAGTCACAGGCCTCAAGTCTAAGTCGAGTCCCAAGTCTTGGTTCATTTTATCAAGTCAAGTCTCAAACCCTAAAAATAGTGACTCAAGTCTGACTCGAGTCCAAGTCACGACTTTTTAAAATCCCCACCTCTGACAGCGACATTCAGACATGAACGTCCACCAGACTTCTGCTCAACATCGTTTACAACTGTTGGACTGGACAAAAACAATCTCTGTTCTCTGGTTTTCCTCTAGAGACGATTTTCACGGTTGTCAAAAGAAAAGAAAATCAGGTCCTAATCGATGCTAAAACAAGTATCGAAACTACATATTTATTTGAGCAAGTATCGATACTAAAAAGTCAGATTCACAGGACAGAAATGAACCTTTTTCTGAATAGTTTTAGAATGATGTTGACCAAATCAGAGTCTAAGAGCACATAGACTAGTATACTCCCATGGACCACTGAGGACTACACACATATAACACACATGGGAATAGAAAAGAAAATACTATGATTTAATGTTGAAAATCACATTCTATTGTCGAGATAAAGAGAGCTTTTTAATATCATCATTGGTATTGGAATTGGTATAGAGTCTATTCCTGAATATTGACATTGAGTTTGAAATTGTAGTATTGTGACAACATTATTACTCACTAAATCCCCTTTAATTTTGCCCCCTGATTCCGTCATGTGTCACTCTGCAGTCCCATAATGCCTCTGGTGATACATTTTCCTGCTTTGTCATCAGATTGTTATGAAATTGTTTGCTTTTTGAATCATGTTCTATAAATACGTGTGAATACGGAGGAAGTAATGCATGCGCCGGGGGGAGGGGCCTAATGGGCGTAATGGAGGGGTGACGGGGGTCTTGTTTCACCCAAGGACCGGAAAGTGTCAGGCTGAGGCCAATACAACAGGAAGTACAGGCAGAGTTCCTTCAAAATAAAAATAAATAAATTGAAGCTGATAGAAAATCCAGTGTCACAGTGTAAAATAGTGAAGTCAGTTATTGATGATGTCTTTGTAGAAGTCATTCAAAGTATGTCTATAGTGTAGCGTGTGGATGAATGAGAAGTGAAATGTGGGACCAGCCTCTTAAATCTGCAAAACAAAATTACCTAAAGGTACAAATACAGAAACCTAACCTGAATGTCCTTTTTCTCTGAGCATTGTTAGAGCATTTCACTATTAGAGGAGTGTCAAACTCAAATTCACAGAGGACTAAATTAAAAACTGGGACTAAGTCGGGGCCAAACTAAATATTTATTGAAAAACAACATCTGCATGTTTTCTCTTCTTTTGAGATCTGTAATGTTAAACCTTTTCATATTAAAATAAATGTTTAATAATAGTTTTGCTTAAACATTGAATCCAGAACAAGCACAATATAAAATAACAAAAAATGTACTAAATAATGTTTCTATAGTCTATCTGTCTGTCTGGCCAGCTCTAATACATATTTGATATGATCCCTTGGGCCAAATATAATTATATCACTGGCCAAATTTGGCCTCCAGGCCTGAGTCTGACATGTCTGCACTATTAGAATGTCTGTATCTCGCACTAAAGAGCAAAAAACTGAGACAAGCTTTTGTCATGTCCATCATTCAATCCTTTCAAAATGATGGACATCCCTATTCTTTATTTAAGCCACTTCCAGTTAGATATAAATGTCCCCAGGGATTACTTTTACATATTTGATTACACTGTACATTTTGGAATGTTCTGCTGTTACATTTTATGTGTGTTGAAAGGATCGCATACTTTTCTGGTGGAGGGTCCTCCACCTGTTTGTCTCCACAGATGTTGCTGCTTTGCAAGATCATTCTTCATTATATTCTTCATGATTCATTCAACATATCTGTGTCCTATGGAGACAAACAGGTGATGGCACCAGACAAATGGACAGGTCTGACATGTGGAAAGGTCCCAGCAGTATAAACACAGTATAAATGCTAGAAAGATTAATTTATGATTTACAATATTCTATGTCAATAAGTAACATCTCCATGGAGCACGTTACCTGAGAAGTTACATTCTGAAAAGTTGATAAGTTACCTGGTACATTTAAGTACCTTGTGAATTTCTCTCTGTTAAACGCTCAGTAAATAAACAGTAATCAGGGCACTTGAACAGCCTGCACCAACTAGTCCTGTTTCTGTCTAAAACTACAGAAAACATGTCTGGTCTGTTCTGGTGTATGTGTATGAGAGAGTTTTATTATTGTTCATTCTCTTAAATATTGCTGTAGACTATTTTCATCAGTCACTCTTTTGTAACTGCTGACACTTTTACACTTTATTATGAAGTGGGTGAGCGGAAGTGCGCGCCCCCACTCTGTGCGCCTTTACGCACTGTCCCATCCACTGTAGCGGATCTCCTCTGTCTCTCTCTCCCCTCGCTCCTTCTCTCTCTCTCTCTCTCTCTCCCTCTCTCTCTCTCTCTCCTCTCTCTCCTGATTTAGCCTGAGACGGAGAGGACCACGCAGGCGCCACTCTCTCCCCTCTCTCCTCTGCCTCACACCGGGATACTGTTTCCCCTTTTACCGCACATTTGGTACCGATTGAACTTTGTGGATTTCTGGTGGAACTAACGAAGTATGAGCAGCAGCGTAAATCGAGCGTGACTTCAGGACAGGAGAAAGTGCCCCCTCGCTCGGTGCCAACAGGGCAGCGCTTGGTTTTACTCATCAGAGGCACCGGAGGAAAAAAGGATCGGTTCTTCTTTATGTGGACGCGGACATAACACCACACAGCGAAGGTAAACACCGATGTTTTTCTGCGCGCTTTGACTTTTCCGGCTTTTTTACGTGTGCGTGTGTGAACAGAATGAATCAACATGTGAGAAAGTCGCCTGTCTGCGCTCTACGTGTTATTTCTGTCGCCTTTGTGTGCATATGACTGGATAGTGATTTGGAAACGGGAGGAAAAGCGCTGCGTAAAGCTTTAATTAAAGAGCCATATAGACAGAAGTCGCGTTTAAACTCCTCTAATAAACCTTCCAGATTCCCAATTTCTCTTTTACGTTTTTTCTACGTAAAATGAGTTAATGTCTAAGCCAGTTGCAACCGGTGTGTTCAGCAGGGATGCCACTATCGACTGTTTTAGTAGTCGAATAGTCAGCGATTACGTTTCGATTAGTCAAACGATTTCAATTTCTGTTGTGTATTGAGACTTTGGAAATAGATTTTAGCCAATTTCATAAAGACTGACATGGTGACTGAAGGCTTCTAAATAGACAGGAGTGGAAAGTAACTAATTACAAATACTCACGTAACTGTAATTGAGTAGATTTGTGAGTAATTGTACTTTTTGGAGTAGATTTTCAGCCTTCTTGTACACTAATTGAGTATAATTCTAGCCATGAAACTGTAATTTAAAATCACATGAGTAGAGAGTAGTACTAGCAACTGTAGTAGTAGTAGTAGGCTGTTTTTCATGTGTACTTTAAACTTTTACTTAAGTACAATGTTGGTAGCAGCTGCTTTTTTAGTACTTTAGTACAAATTGGCAGAATCAGAGTAAGTTTTATTGCCGTTTGGAACTTGCTTTGGTGTTATTGTACAGCATTAAACAAAGAATAATGATATAAACTGTGATAAAATAAAATAAAAATAAAGGCATGCATCAAAATAACGTAAATAAATTGACTCAAATACAAAATATACACTAGGGCAGAACAATAGTACAAAAGGAGGTTAATTATAAATGGCAAATCCTTTTCAATTAGTTCCAGTAAGTTAAGGATATTTAATAGATTGTTACACAACCATATACAATATTATTTACAATATTGGACACGTTTGATGATGAAAATGTCTTTATTTGTTCTTCCTGTTTTTCTTCTACAAGTGTTCTGGTTGTATGGATGAAAAAAGGCACTCTGATATACTTTTCTATGATTTAATTTCACGTCAAACGCCCAACGCATTCTGACTTACGTCTTCATCACGGAATGTAAAATTCACAGGTGTGTGTCGGAGGTATTTAAATGTACAAGTCACATGATCACACCATCACGTGATACAAATAAAATCATAGCAAAGTATATCGGAGTGCCTCAGATCTCAGTTTTTCATCCAGTAAGTCATTTGCTCACTTGGGATCTCCGAAGAGCAGCTGATCATTATTATTTCACTTCAGCGGTGATCCTCTAAATACCATCTACTTCTTTGCATTCTGGTGGTGTTTTGAAGTTTTTCTCAAATGTATAACTGATGTAAAATGCCACAGTTTCAGTTGGACTTATAGTACTTGCTGATATATCAGTTAAAACACATATCTTTGTACATTTCTATACAAATCTGCATTTTCCGCACAATACCAAACTGAAATTAAAAAACACATTCACAGACATTCAAAATCAGGTTGTCCACATCAAACATAGGAAGACAAAAAAAAGGCAGCGACGTCAAATTTATACAAATAAATGGCAAATTAAGTAACAACAAAGCAGATATGTACATTATTAATACAATGTTGACTTCTGATTTCTATTACAAAATGAAAAAGCTGTACAGTTGTAGGGAGTATTATCTATTCCGTAAGTGTGAGTTGTTGTACAGTTGTAGGGAGTATTATCTTTTACATAAGGGTGAGTTGTTGTACAGTTGTAGGGAGTATTATCTTTTACATAAGGGTGAGTTGTTGCACAGTTGTAGGGAGTATTATCTTTTACATCAGGGTCAGTTGTTGTACAGTTGTAGGGAGTATTATCTGTTCCATAAGGGTGAGTTGTTGTACAGTTGTAGGGAGTATTATCTGTTACATAAGGGTGAGTTGTTGTACAGTTGTAGGGAGTATTATCTGTTCCATAAGTGTGAGTTGTTGTACAGTTGTAGGGAGTATTATATGTTACATAAAGGTGAGTTGTTGTACAGTTGTAGGGAGTATTATCTGTTACATAAGGGTGAGTTGTTGCACAGTTGTAGGGAGTATTATCTGTTCCATAAAGGTGAGTTGTTGTACAGTTGTAGGGAGTATTATAGTATGAATGTAGTCCTGTCACTGTCACACTAAATAGATGGCAAACTAAAACAACAAAGCAGATATGTACATTATTAATACAATGTTGACTTTTGGTTTCTATTACAAAATAAAAAAGATAAAACATATTATTATATTATTATTACTTAGTGTATAGTTTCTGTTTGTATGAGGAAATATACCATGACAGTGTTTAAAGTGCTTGTGACGACTGTAAACAGGGAATGGTTACGACTAATATTACGTTACAGTATAATAGCAGATTTATGTAAACGGCCGTGTCTTATAATTACAGACTCATTACAGTGCCGGGCCAGTAGGCTATAGGATTATCAGGCTACTGTTTTCCCCTGGGTAACCATGCGTCCTGTCATTTGCTTAGTCCAGCTTTAGGCCTGGTGTTCACACAGTGCAGTCCAGTCTCCTCTTAGACGCCCATGTTCAGTACGAGCCATAGTGACCCGTTAAAATGGTACGATCAAGTGCAAGGTAAAATATCAGCCAAAAATATAAATGCAAATTGTATTCAAAAACAGTTACAAAAATACAATATAATTACGATTTAAACTTATATTTGCAGATAGAATTCCATAGCTAAAATATATATACTTTTAGCAAACAATTGTGAATTCTGTACTTAGTTACTGTGAGCTTTTCTCACTTTTCTGTGCCATAAACTCAACTTAGTGCCAAATATATAACAATACTCATCCAGACTTCCACTATAATTGGAGGTGGGTAGAGTATTCAAAAACATACTCAAGTAATAGTAATGTTACGGAAATAATATTATGCAAGTAGAAGTACAAACTAGAGGTCCAAGAAAGTATTTGGAAAACATACTAGTAACTTAAAAAGTAACTAACTGTCAGGATGTAACATCTGATTTTTAAAAATTTAAAGTTAGTGTAACTGGCACAACAAAACATTAAATAATACACAAAATATTGTAGTTTCCAAGGATAAACACAAAAATTAGACAAACTAAACAAATGTTCAAATCATTTCATATTGTCACTTAAAGCTTTTGTTGCTTTAGACTTACTCACAGTGGGAAGAGGAAGCACAACTTTTATTCAAGTAAGAGTTCTGTTACTTCAACCCACCTCTGACCAAATAAAGTATGAGAGAGATTTAACTATACTAGAGGTGTAAGAAAAAAATCAATTCAGTGATATTGATTCAAAATGGATCCAAATCAATTTTTAAAATAATATTTTTCACAAAAATTCATTAGTTACATTCACTCTTCATGTGATAAAAAAAAATAAAAAATGTGTAGCTGACTGTGTTATTAGAAGTAATTATTGATAAATAGCAATTCATCATCCTTTGTTTTAGTATCAGATTAGTATTAGATTTAGTATCCTTTGGTTTAGTATCGAATATGCGAATCATGATATGTATCGTCAGACTCAAGGCAATGCACAACCCTAAAATATACTCAATGTTTTTGCTGTGTCCATACATTCAATGCACATGTGTGATCATGTGAGTCACTGTGGAGAGGTCACTGCTGTGGAGAGGTCACTGCTGTGGAGAGTCACTGCTGTGGAGAGGTCACTGCTGTGGAGAGGTCACTGCTGTGGAGAGGTCACTGCTGTGGAGAGGTCACTTCACTCGACTGAGCTAAACAAAAACACGTATTTAAAGTACAGAGCAAATACTGTGGGAATTTCATCTCTATGTCTTGAAATGAGTAACAGGAAGTCCAGAGTTTCCACTATATGTCTCTGTATATGTTCTGCTGAATCAAGTTATATTCATGCATGACATTTAGACTTGCACTTTAAGCTCTTTAATGAGTCCAGTTAATTATAGCGATCAAAGTGAGCGTTGCACTTGGCTTGGGCAGAGATAGACAGACAGTCGATATATTGGCCTTAAATCTCCTGTGTCGGCCAGTATTTACTTTGGATTGATGAATTTCCACATAGAGCTTCATTTGAACACTTCAGTGCGACAAAGGAATTGCACAAAATGTGATTACACTGCTTCAGTAAAGTTTAGTAGGTTGTGATTTTCCTTATACTTTATGCAGAGCAGTAAAAACATATGTACAATGTTTATGTTACTTGGGATATATCGTGATATACTGAATTGTGACAAGTGAATCTTGATATGTATTGTATTGCCAGATTCAAGGCAATGCCCACCCCTAGAGAAAATGGTCCGGGTTTTGTCATCTAGATGTCATTGTATTCTTTCTTTTTTCCTTTTATAAATTGCCTATTCATTTGTTTGTCATAAAATGTTTATTTTGGGGGAAAATTGTCAAAATCTGCTCTGTATCAGTGGAAAAATATCATCAGACCCTGTTGGCCATCTGTTTTGGTATCAGCCATGAAAAAAAACATCTGTGGATCTCTAGCTTGTAGCGATGCAGTGGTAATACAGAGGTGATTTATAAGTGATTTCATGCAAATTACACAACTATTATTTTACCATATTAGTTTCAAAATGAATCAAGTTGTTGGAGATGTTCACATTGTGTTGGGTTCTTTTCCATTTCATACGTGATACATGCAGTTTTTACAACAGTGTTTCTTTGTTAAACTGAATACTTCTATTGTAATAAACAATACCACAAGTACCAAAAGATACCAAAAATATCCATATCGTTAGAGCAGCCCACAGTACTTCACTACATTCTGAGCATATTCAGCAGTCTGCTCCCATGATGCACCAGTGTGCGGGGGTCATGTCCCTTCACCAGGCCAACAGGGAAAACATGTTCGAGGCATGGAGCAAACTGCTCTGGGAATTTTGCACCGG